GTTATTAATGCCCCGCGACGCGAGATATTAAACGTTAAAGTTGACAGTAATCAGGTTATGATTCCTGTCATACCGACGAGCTGTAGCGACTACTGGCGACTACGAACATGCCCTGTGGCCGCATGCGCATGTTTAGTGGCCGCACGCGCATGCAAAACTGCGCAAATTTTAAATGAATTAATCGTGCAGAATAACCCAAGCATCTCGATTCAAGCAGTTAGGTTTCACGAGTTTCATTAGTTTAATTATGCGTGGGAAGCACACACACACACACACACACACACACGAGGGGGGTGCGAGGGGGGGCCTTCGGCTCCCCCCTCCCCCGCACCCACCCCGTCGGTAGGCAGCGTGGACCTCGCTTTACAACATAAAGTATTGTTACAGATTTAGCTTGACATTTTATTGGTCGGTTAAAATTGATTCTGATTGGTGGAATATTTGGTTCTTTTTTAGTCACTAGATGACATTAGAAGTAAATTCATGCTTATGCGTCTTTTTCTGTTTCACTGTTTCTTGGTCATCCATGCCATCCATGACGGTTACTGATATAATAAAGACTAACGACACAATTAAGTTTTACAATAATCGAGTGTACTTTATTTCTTGCGCACCTGAACGCCTGTATAAAGTTATAGTTTTATCAAGTATTATACATGCTAAGTTGTAAAACGAAATTATAAAGTACATGCATGAGGGAGGGTGCAGGGGAGAAAAGCCTTCCTGTTCACGTGCGCTCACGCATGTAAGCCCATTTGCACCCCTCCATGCATGTGCTTTATAATTTCGCTTTACAACTTAGCATGTACTTTATGTTGTAAAGCGAGGTCCACGCTGCCTACCGACGGGGTGGGTGCGGGGAAGGGGGGGGGCCAAGGCCCCCCCCCCCCCCCCCTGTGTGTGTGTGTGTGTGTGTGCTTCCCACGCATAATTAAACTAATAAAACTCCCAACGTGAAACCTAACTGCTTGAATCGAGATGCTTGGTTATTCTGCACGATTGATTTATTTAAAATTGGCGCAGTTTTGCATGCGCGTGCGGCTACTAAGCATGCGCATGTGGCCACAGGGCATGTTCGTAGTCGCCAGTAGTCGCCGTAGTCGCTACAGCTCGTCGGTATAACAGGAATCATAACCTGATACCTGTCAACTTTAACGTTTAATATCTCGCGTCGCGGGGCATTAATAACAATAAAAACTTAATTTAGTAAAAAAAATCTTGATTTTATTTGTTAACAGTCACACAGTCCGAATTAAGCCACACCTAGGATTGACTAGTCAAAGTCCGAAGTAATTTTTCTTTAGCTTCTAACTTTGACTATAGCCGTATTAGTTATTCCTAGGATTGACTAGTCAAAAGCCGAAACGCAAAACTTATTTCAGGCTTTGACTAAGACGCTTGGTCGTTCCCCAGGATTGACTAGTCAATCCTAGGAATGTCTGCGTTTCGGGCTTTGACTGTAACATATATATATATATATATATATTTCTATAGAAATAAAGCAAAACACTGTGACATTAATTGTTAGTTGTACTTTTATTCGCATGATCAAATACAAATAATAATACAACAATCTGACTATTTGTATTGTAGTTGTATTGCTCTCAATTATTAAAAAACAATCGTGGAAAATAATCGTTATTCTACTCAATCTATTTACGACGCTTAATCCTGCATTGTTTAAATTCTTCGCCTTTACGTTGGTTCCTTATTTAATTTTACTTAATTGGTTTCTCCTTTATTATTTAGTCCTCTATTTCGGGGAACTGCATTATTGCACTTCTGCTGCACTGCTTTGCGAAACATCTTGTCGAAATCTTTTTCTGTTGGAAATTTCTTCTTAACGTATGCTAAAGCACGTATATTTATCAGTTTTCAAACTACAACTATATGAAATTAATACTGTTGCACAAATTATAGTCATACCTTTCATAGCTTCAATTTTCACCGTGTCGAGTTTCTTTTTAGCGGCTATACCTTTTTCGCAATGAAAATTTGCCACAGTTCCTGTAAGCAAAGAGGTAGCTAACTCTTCTTTTGAAAATAGCAAAGACATCATCTCGCATATCAACTTAGAGACAGATGTGTGATTGCATAAGGAAAGGCGAATGGCATTCACTATACAAGATTCTGGCCCTCCAAGGTCGACTGTCTGTTCCTGTGTTAAATATTTTGTATAAAATATGATAACATTTTTAGATAATTATTAAATGTAACGATATTCATATTCATAAAATTGCATTAGGTGAGAATTGAAAACCAAACCAACATCTATAACTACACTTGAAAATCAAAACTCCAAAAATATTAATTTCTGTTTTAAATAGCATTGTAATTAAAATATATAATGATTGTGTATTGCGATTGATTGATGATCATTCGAAGACTTTGCTGTATCTGCTGCATGGTTCGATTCATGTACATGTTCCAATTCACGTGTGTTGACTACTTTTATCGCGACGTCTGGAGTATCAGGAAAGTCTTCCAGCAATGATTCTGAATTGGAATTTTGTGGTACTAAATTATGTCCGAATGTCAGAGGTGTCGACTCATGTGATGCTGGTTCACAAAACTCTGTAACCGATCTTTGAGACAATTTCAACTTATCGCTTGGTAGATCTAACTCCTTATTTTGCATTATCGATGCTGGCGATGCATCGGTTGCAGACGATTCCAATTTATTATTTGGTAGATTCAATTTGCTGATGCAGAACGGATCAGAGTCTAATGTCATTGCTGGAGGAGTGTAACCTCGTTCACGTTCAATAATGCAGTTATTTATTGCTTGTATTTTCTACAAAACAAATGAGCATATAATTAGCACATTGTTTCATACTATTTACAAATATTCGATGTAATGCCAATGTAAATCAAAATTATATATACCTCTTCCAGCTTATCTATTTGATCATTAAAAGACTCAATTTTCTTTGATGCAGATTGCAAATTAACCGTGAAATCTTTTACCATTTTTTCCATCTTTGGAAAATCTAAAAAATTAATAACGGTAACCAAGGATCTCATTAAAAGGATTGCTTATCAAAAGGAATCCTCGGCTTATTAAAAGGATAATCTTAAATAGATTGAGCCATTTAAAGTTAACAAATTATTGTTTTCAGTGTTTTTATTGCTTAAGGATATATATATATATATATATATATATATATATACCAAAAAACGTTCAAAAAAGTAGCATATAAAGATATATTTGTGAAGGAATTTGTAATTAACATTTCGTATTCGCTGTTTAGAACTCTACCTATATTTATATGGTGAGTTGCAGGTATTATAAAATAAAATAATTCGACAATAATTTAAAAAAATTATTCAGATAAAAATTGAAGTCCATTTGATCTGATAGTGTATAATTTGAGCTATACGAAAAGTAGTAAAAACAGTGAGATACTCCGAACCTATTTTAACCATTAATAAAAATTACTCAACCGGCTAAGAACTGTTACAGAGAGAAAAATATTCAACAAGAATACCTTCGTTGACAGATCGTAACGTGCGTAGTCTTTTGTTGTCTCTTTGCAACTTCTTGTTTTCTTCATTTAATTCAATGATTGTTAGTTGTGACTTTAATTGAACGGGAGATTTTTCGTTATCTGTATCACATTCGTCATCCACAGATTTACTCTATAATAGTATAAATTTATATCTCAAAGTTTTGTTACGTTTCAAATAAAAAAATCTGAAGAACATTAAATAGAGATATATATAGATTTAAGAAAATTACCTGTGACGAGTATTTCTGCTTGTTATGTTTGTACTGTTTTAAAAGTTCTTTCCCCTTTTTCTCGTTTAAAGTACATTTCTATAAATAAAAAAGCATGACTCATTCAATAGCAAATTTATTTTTAGCATGCGATATTTTAAATTATGATTCATATTTAGTTATGTAAAATATATGTCATTATAAGGGCCAAAGCACATAACATGGCGTAGCGATATACGACGGTCGTAGTCCTCGACCTGACAAATCAAGATACGCCAAAGCTTGTGCGTTACTTACGTCCACGACTACGACTGTCATATGTGCTTTGGCCCTAAACCTTTTGTTTCGACTTTGTTAGCGCACTTTTTTTTGTTCCTTTTACTTCCGATTCGTCGCTGTCACTCTCTGTTGTTTGCCTTTTTGTGAACTGTTTCCTGTCATGTTTATCAAGTTCAGTGACACCATACTTTTCCAAATTGTCTCTGATTTCGCGCATTTTGATCCATCCTAAAATTTTAATAAAGCATTTTGTTATCTAAAATTTTATATAAACTTATATTTATATTTACTTAAATTGAAAATGATTGCCAATTGTTTGACAATTAGGACTCCTCTTTGGAGATAAAACTTTAAAAATGCTGCATAAAGATTTAGTTCAATGGTATGGAAAATTGTACTGTAAACACCGACCATAATGTACTAAAATTAGGAATTTTTTATAAACATTATTCGATAAAAAAAAAAAAATGCATGTTAGAATCATAATTATAGCCATTTTGCTATGGGATATCTTAGTAGTTAATTCTAATAACAATGAGGTATTTTAAAGTTTTCATCACTTCGTATTTTTTTTGTAAATTGCAATAGATGCAATTACACAAAACTCAATTCAACTATTAGCCCAGTAAAATGACAAAATCTTGAGGAAATAATACTGACTGGACTGAAACTTTGTAAACAGACTTGTTTTAGGGTACTATTCAACATATTAAAAGTCCCCACGTGTAGACGCTACGTTGCGAGGAGGGGAGGGTCCAAAAGATTCCAAAAATCAGTTTTTTGTAAATAACTTACAAAAATTTATGTAGATATAAAAATTGTAGCTTACAAAATTCCACACAATTTCGTTTTTTATTCAAGTCTGTACGATCAAATGAAGCAGAGATAGAATTTTTTTAAACACCGGTAGTTTTGCCTCGATTTGAGAGTCCATTTTCGAGATATTAGCGAAAAATGCGCGACGCGCGTACGCGTTAGCCTCGATTTGAGAGTCTATTTTCGAAATATTAGCGAAAAATGCGCGACGCGTGTACGGGTTTTTGTTGCGTCACAAAACTACCGGTGTTTAAAAAATTTTATCTCTGCTCTATTTGGTCGTACAGACTTGAATAAAAAACGAAATAGTGCGGAATTTTGTAAGCTACAATTTTTATATCTACATAAATTTCCGTAAAATTGATATTTTTTGAGTTATTTGCGAAAAACTGGTTTTTTTTGGATATTTTGGACCTTTTGGACTCTCCTCTGCCCGTAACGTAGCGTCTACACATGGGGACTTTTATATGTTAAATAGTACCCTAAAACAAGCTTGTTTACAAAGTTTCAGCCCAGTCAGTATTATTTCCTTTAAATTTGGAAAAAAATTCTATCTCTGCTCCATTTGGTTGTACAGACTTGAATAAAAAACGAAATTGTGCGGAATTTTGTAAGTTACAATTTTTATATCTACATTCGTAAAGTTGATATTTTCCGAGTTATTTGCGAAAAACTGATTTTTGGGACCTTTTGGACCCTCCCCTCCCCGCAACGTAGCGTCTACACGTGGGGACTTTTAATATGTTGAATAGTACCCTAAAACAAGCCTGTTTACAAAGTTTCAGCCCAGTCAGTATTATTTCCTCGAAATCGACAAATTTCGAGTCATTTTACTGGGCTATATCTGCTATGCACATTAAGAAACCGATATTTTATTCAATATCGTTGCTTACCTCCATATGCCCGTAATTTTGTTACAACCTTTTCCCACTGACAATTGGCCAATTTTTTTTTCATTGTTGCTGTTGGTGGGCCTACATCACAGTTTTTTGGCCATCGAACTTTCACTATCGTCCCACGTTCAATTATATCATCTAATTCAGTAATTTTAAATTTATCTTCCAGCCATTCCAAATATCCAATAGATATACTATCTTCTTCATTTGGAAACTCGCACACCATATATCTTTCGTGGTCCATTGTCTGTAAAAGCAAAATACAGGAGCGTTTCAATACTAGCTGCGAGTATACTGACAGCATTATCATGTCTATATTGAACTG